AAGCATTGTTAAATGTCTCGGACTGGTGATTCACTGACCACCAAACTGGCGTCGCGGAGTCAATTAGCTGGGTAAAGCCTGGATGGCCCTGGAAGCAGGCATCCCTTCGTAAAGCCAGCGCTGCGCGTTATTATTATTTTGTTGTTATTATAATTACTTTTTTTCTTTCCCCGGGAGAAAGGCAGCGTGCCCACTGTGCCCGGACAGTTTTTTTTTGTTTGGTGGTTTGTTTTTTTTTCCTCCCGGTAGCTCCCACGCAGCAGCGTGTGTCGCGATGTGCCTTTAAGGAGCCGGAGCCTGTGTGCACACGACGGTGTTGAACCGGCGTCGGGACAGGCAGCTGGGTTCTCAGGAGCCGCGGCGGCCAGAACGCTCGCCTTAAATTGCTAAGGAGGCTGATGTTTCAGCTGCGCTGTTTTACTTGCAGATCAGCAAAAAACCACAGTGATTGAAAACGGTGAAATCAGATTCAATGGAAAAGGGAAAAAGATTCGGAAGCCACGAACCATTTACTCTAGTCTACAACTCCAAGCTTTAAATCATCGCTTTCAGCAGACTCAGTACCTGGCACTCCCAGAGAGAGCTGAGCTGGCAGCTTCATTAGGACTTACCCAGACACAGGTAATTACTGGGAATCCCAAATCACTGAAATCCTGCTCGAGCAAAAAAGGCCAAGCAAAGTAGGATGCTCCCTAAACGTTTTGGCGCCTGTATGGGAACAGTAGAAAAGGTAATGCACACGGCCCCCATCTATGAGTGATAAGACTTATCTAATGCACGACAGAGAGACCGGTCTACCGCAGAAGGAGCTGAATGGGCCCTTCCCTCAGCTGTCTGGCGAGCAAGCGCTCCTTTTTGATGCCACACGTAACATTTTAAAATTGTCCGTGTTTTCGGATCATTCCAGCACCGAGATGCAGTTGCCCAGCTGTGAAAAGGAGGACAAAGCAAAGGCAAGGAAGCGCTGGGCCTGAGGTAGAGCTAAAAGCAAAGCTGCCTTGTAGCAACCTATAGGTAGGGGGGAAGCAAGAACACGTTAGGAAATACCTGTAAAATCAATAGTTAATTCATCCTGGATGACTAATGCAAATGCAGTGGTTACCCTTGGGCAAAATGTACGAAAGGTGATAATAGATCTGAAGATCAAAGAGAGCCGTGTACAAAATTATAGCAGGTTAAGCCATAGTTAAGTGTGGTTGAGGTAGCTATCCCATTCTGCTAATTTAAGCTTGAAAGACACATGAGGCATTACAGGCTTCCCAGGCTGGGGGTTTGCGGAGAAGTGCATGGATAGATGGGATCAATTCGGGTAAAGCATAATAATGGGAATTTATGAGCTTAACAAGTAACTTCAGGATTTTATCATTGTCATTGATAACAGTCGCTTCCAGCCAGCGATTTTTAAATACTCAACAAACATTAATCACGGCAATAGACCTGACAGCTTTACAAATGAGATTTTAGCATCCTTAGCATGCACACTCAGTCTCACTGCTGTCTTGCTTTCTCCCTCGCACGCATGGATTCAGGGCCCCGATCCTGAGCGCGCAGCCAGACAAGCACCCCTACTTATGCCCTAACATTAAGTCTACAAAGTTTGCGAGGTCAAATACACACGCAGGAGATGTTTTCTTTGTTTGCTTGATTTTAAGAAATACGTGTATATGCACGTCTTCGTCTTACATATGTATCAGTTCTATAACGATTCTGATCTGCCAGAGTGGGCCTGATCCTCTCACACCTCATCAAGTGCAGGCTCACTCCTCGGGAGTTCTGCTGGATTAGGAGCAGAATGAGACCCAAAGCAATTTTGATAGCAAATTATTCGCCGAGAGAACAGAATTTTCCTTTCTTTAAAAACAACTGTTAAAATAAAGCCATAATCCTGGTTCCATTGTGCCTCATCCCCCATCACATCAGCGAGGACCGCTTCATCATGCATGTTTTTGGATGCGTGATTTCTTTGTAAGATGCCTTTTGTCTATTGGCTCCTGTCTTCTGGCACAAAATCATATGATTGCCCATGTTTGAAAACAGTTTGCCCAAATGATCAAATTACCTCCAAAATTCTGAACGAGGCAAGAGAGCTCAGAGGATGTATTCTGCTGCAGCTCGATCAGTCTGGCCTGCCCAGGGAAAATAACATTCCAGGCGAAAACCTTCATCCCTCCCCACTTTCCAACTCGGCTCTGCCTCTCCTGCTCTCTCCAACTGCGTCCAGAGCCCGTGAGCAGCAACAGCTCACCCTCCTTCCCAGCTCCCCAGCTCCACACCCGACTGGCATGGGCTCTCAAGACCCTCTCTAGAGCAAACCCACATCCCCCAGGGTCTCCCCTGCCGTGCCCTGAGTGCTGACGGCAGCCTAATATCTGTTGATTTTCGTTTACAGGTGAAGATCTGGTTTCAGAACAAGCGCTCCAAATTCAAGAAGCTGCTGAAGCAGGGCAGTAACCCCCACGAGAGCGACCCTCTGCCCGGCTCTGCCGCCCTCTCCCCTCGCTCTCCGGCTCTGCCTCCAGTCTGGGACGTTTCAGCTTCTGCCAAGGGAGTCAATATGCCTCCCAACAGCTACATGCCTGGCTATTCTCACTGGTATTCTTCTCCACATCAAGATACAATGCAGAGACCACAAATGATGTGAATCGTCCAAGAGAAATAATCTCCCAAGAGCGCCTCGTCTCGACATGGCAAGAAGTTCCCCTGCTTTGCCAAGCCGTGCCAGCTAACAGGCTCTGTGTGAACTTGTAGATGCGGCAAAGAGACAGAGTGGCTTTTTTTTTTTTTTTTCCCTTCCCTTTCCCCCCCCCCCCCTTTTTTTTTCTTAAGTAACCTCAGCGATTGATCTTGAACAGGAAGACAGAATTTTCATTCTGGTGCACAGAAGACACTTCTCTTTAGGATCTTTTCCTTTGGACTCCGAGACTCCGAGAGGCACCAGCCTCTTTCTCTGTGGAATATATGTCAAAACAAACTTTTTACAGACTTTGCACACAAGAAGAACCTGAATCTACCATGGCAGCCGTTTTTACTTGTTTAATGAGCTAAAGACAGTACATTATGAAAGAGAGACTAGTCAAAGCTCCTTCATTTTTATTCACCAAATCTGGACTGTGGAAGAAAATTAAAAGAGAGAAGAAGGGATGATTAAAAAAAATAATAATAAAATGAGGGGAAATATGGAGAACTGGTTGAAAGATGAAAACACGCTGTAAGATTAGAACATTACCGCAAAGCAAAACCTGCATGCTTTCTCAAAATGCAAGGGCTGCGGCTTGGAAGAAGTCACCAACTCCCCGCAAAGACTCCCCTCACCCGCACCCGCACATACCCGCACGCAGCCGGACAGACTCCCGGAGCCGAGCAGAAAAGACAGAGCGAGGGACCCGCGACACCTCCCGCCGCCCCGGGCTGGGGAAGGGACGTTCAGCGCTGCCTGACCGCAGCCTCACCCCCGAGCGACAGGGACCTTTCCCCCGAGGAACCTTTCTGTATATATTGTTGAATTTTAGTTGTACATATACTTTGTATGTTTTTGTCTTCTTTCATATATAGAGTAAAAGCCACAAAACGCCCGCCTGGCTGCTATTTCTCTCCGCCTTAGCGGACCCCACCACCCCGACCTTCCCGCCCGGTTCAGCCCAGGCAGCTGAACGCGGTCCCCCCGCTTGCCTGCGAACACGGACACCGCTACCTGAACACAGATCTGCGAGCAAATACAGAAAAGATGGGGAGGGGGAGGGAGGGCCGGGCGTGTAGCTGGTGGTTTGGATAGTTGTAAGGCTACGACGAAGACAGCAGATACCGAGACCGCAAAGATAAGCCTAGAAGAAGTTTCTAATCACCCAGTCACTTCTGCTGCGATTTCACTGCTCTGCTGCTCAGCTGAGCTGAGCTCTCTCACCGAGGCAAAGCTCAGAGCCATGCTTTTCTTCCCCAAGGTTGGAGACTCCAAAATATTAAGAAAGGAGGCGCCCTCCTTTGTTTTTAAAGAGCAGACAATGCGAGCCGAGGAACGTTTTGCAAAGCCCTAGAGGTGCCCAGGCACACAACACGCTGTCCAGCCAGCTCCAGCCTCACCAGCTTGTGGAAAGCACAGCAACTACTGACAATGAAAAGCCCTTTCCTCATCCAAGCTGGGTGCCCCATACTGCGAGAATTAATGGCTAGAGACCTGGGCATCCTTCAAATTATGAACCTTGAAACCACTGAGCCATTTATCAGAAGTCAATAGAGATCCTCAGAGTGCTCCATATAATGACAGCTACATACAGTCGTGCAAAAGGACAGTCACTATAATTAGACACAAAGCAAAGACTACTTACCAATGTACCAGTTTTTTGGGGGGTGTTTTTTGGTTTGTTTTTTTTTTTTTTTTGAGCAACTTCCACGCTCAGTCAGTCTTCAGAGTGGTTTAAAACCGATCAGTCTTGTCATTTTCTACCATTCGTATTGTTACATTAGGAAAAATGTTTTCTTTTCTTTTTTTCCCCTTCCCACTGTGAAACTTTGGGTTCAGAGCTCCCCAGGATCAATTCTGAACAAAGCCTCCAGCTGCAGTGCCATCCAATTTGAAGCAGACATTGGGGACAATTTAAGGTTTTTATCCACAAGAAGGTTTTTTTCCATTCTCTTAAATGCAGCCATAATTAGAGTAATTTTTCATGTAGCCCGCTGATTACAGCGTTTTTACCGTCAAAGATAATTACCTGTAATTTTCTTCCACTTTTAATACTAAAAAGCCATCTTTATTTAGATTCAGGAACAGGAAAGGCGAAACAAAAGAGGAAAATTATTCCGTTATTCATACACAAATTGCAGAGACGTAGGGCCTAAAATTGAAAATTAACCAAAATTATAATGCTGAAAAGAATGGAAGAGGCTTAAGAAGTACAGCTGGTAGTGGGGCTCACTGAATTATTCAAATGACACTGGAGAGAAAGCTACCATACATTTATACCAACAGCATTTGTGCGTGTGTGAATCTGTCAGAAAACCCCGCTTTGCACCCCCGAGACGGCCCCTGTTCGGGCTCACCCTCGCCCCCGCAGACGGGCCGCGGACGCCCCGACGAGCGAGCCCAGCAGCCCGGAGAG